GTAGACGCATCAGACAGTGTCTACAGCGTTCCTGATCATGTGTCGACGTTTCGAGCTTCGGCTGTAAATAAGCTGAGTCCTTCCAGACTGAATTTTTTCAATTTTTTGACAGTTTTTCACCCGTATTCCAAAAATCCCATTTGTAACTTTAAATTTTAATCTTCAGTGCCCTTCAGGAGATGGCTTTAAATTATATGTGAATGATTACGGATGGACTTTGCTTTTAGCAACTCATACATTATTACTAATTTCATTAGTTGATTGGGTTTTCTTGTGCCACAATATGAATAAACCGTAAGTTCCCTCGCGATATTCTTAACGATTAATGCTTTACGTACTTGGACTATACGTGTTATTGTACTAGCTGTTATTTCCTCTAGTCCAATCCTGTAAACAGCAGCAAGGGTTGACTAATGAAATAAGACTATCTGCTCTCAGGTGCGCATTTTACTCATATCCACATATATCTATATACTATTCACAATTTCACTAGTTGCTGCTCTTTGTTTCCTTTCATTCTACGATTCGTGCCTTCCACTTTGCCATAGTCCTGAAAGAAATTGGCATAAAGTCCTGATTTCCGTTAAATTTTAGGCGCAATGTTTGATTGTCATTTCCAAGTCGGTTCGATTAACGATGCTGACAGGCTTACTGGATCCAACACGTGGTAAGGGTGCCAAAACTTTGGAATCAGATGCTCAGTCGTTCAGTAGTAAGTGATTTCATTCGTCTCGCGTTCATGGTGACACCAGTAATGACCGTGTTTCTAGAGACAAATCCAGGCATGGAGAAGTGGACAGCGGCTGTGGAAACCTGTTCAACCATTGGACGGCTCTACGTTCTTTATTACATCTTGCAGAACAGCGTTCGGTGGGAAAAGTCTAACGAAAAAGCGGTAAGTGACGTTTTCCTCTTGTTAGTAGTCATGTTATATTCCGAAGAAAGATTATGCTGACTGAAAATTTTTAATAATTAATTAAAAAGACTTGATTAGTACAAAAGTTTTTGGAAAAGAAAACTTTTAAATTCTCATGAAACAGTTTTTTTCTTGTAATTGGCAAAACGTAGAATAGGTACGGTAGTAGTCCTGATTAACAGGCGGTCAAATGAGATCCAGATGCTTGAATAACGCCATCAATATTTCAAAATGCAATTTTGTAAGAAATTCAACATATTTTCGTGACAATTTGGACTCTATGTTTCGTTTGCAGCTTGGTAATGGTGTAACCGTCTTATAACTATCACAGTATAATCGAACTTTCGTTCTTTTCGTTGAATACAGCTTCCTTGGCTTAGAATCCAACCGTTGTTACCGTGCTGAAAGCTCACTACCTACGCATAATATTCATAAAGTTGTTCACTATAACTTATGGAAAAACCTGATTATCACAGAATAGTGGCAGTACCTCGACATGAAACCACATTGCCGTTAGATGTTACATAATTGGAGATTGCAAAAGGAGGTTCTAGAATCCTGCATGAATCAAATTTGAAGAAAGAGTTGATC